AAGAAATCACAGCCTTCGAGTGTTCAAGGCATTTTAATGGTGGTGAAGACAAAGTGCAGACTTGTGGACGTGAGGAGGTGTCAGAGACTAACGTAATTCTTATTTCCACTGAAGTAAGTGGACTGAAGCTTAGAGTGGAAGAAGGGGGGAGAATGCAGATGGGCTATTTGGTGCTGCAAGGAGAAGGAGGGACTGCACTAAAGAGCAACACAAAGGACGTTCCCAAGCATTGCTCCATCATTTTATAGTATCTCAGAAAGCACAAGGATGGTCCTGCCCTTATGGCAGCAATTAGAGGGAATAGAGAAAAGGGAAGTGCAGCTTTTAGAGAAAGGGGCTTTGTGATATGATGATGCTGGGACGAGCCATTTCTCTTTGATTATCAGCTGCAGCTGGGAGAGTGGGGGAAGAGAGGGAAGCAGGTGGCTCTTGAGAGAGTCCACCTGGAAGAAGGCTACAGAAGGGAATCTGCTGCAGTGCAAGTCCTAGAGTTAAGAGGAGGGTAGAAAGTGAAAGGCTGGTGAGTTGTGCTTTATTTTTTGGTTTATTCAAGAGTAAGAGCCTTAGCTTGTATTGTGATCTTGAGGGGTTTTTTGAGTTAAAGTGTGTTTGTGAAAGGTGTTGAAAAAGCCCTGGTTGCTACATTGAGCTCTTCCTGGGTGAGTAAATCGAGTATTAGCTCATACTATAGCAACAAAGATAAGAAAGAGTTTAGCAAGTTCTTACTACCTGTTTGGGTAATGCAGCTCTGTTTGTGCTCAGTTAAAAGGGAACTTTAAAGGTGAAGTTTTGTATTCTTTCTGTATGGCAATCCCAGACACAGCATAATCAGATGGTTTTGGGTTGGGTTTTTTTGGTTTGTTTTGGTGTTTGTTTTTTTTTTTTTTTCTTTTTCTAAATCACTGATGTCAGTGATCCTGGACTTGTTGTGTGGCTGGGGACCAATATAATTTGCAAGTTCATGAATTCAGTAGTTCTACAAATTAACTGATGAATTCTTGAGTCTTTTGCCCTCTAAAATCAAGCAGTGAGATAATATATTGGCAGGAGGGAAAGGGAGAAATTCATTTGCAGAGGCTCGCTAGGCTCAAGATAGATCTCCGCAAAGCTTGGGAAAATAGCTTTCTGTGGCTCTGCTGAGTTCCTGTTTAATTACTTAGCCAGATATGACCTTGCACAACTTCTATAATGCAAGGGACTAGGAGATCTTTTGTGGTAAACAAAGCCCATAATAACTCTGTTCTCTAATCTCTGTTTCTCTAGCTGATGCCACCCTTTATAAAAGTATGCATATCCCTGAAGCACCTAATTGAGAAATGGCTTTGTGAGGGGATAAAAACATTTGAGTTGCAGGAAGTTATTACACAGGAAGAGTGTTAGTTGTCTTTTTATTGTTACGTACAAATACTGTTATCAGAAGACTCATTTCTAGTCGTGCGTCCTTTGCGTTGGTAGTTATTATATGTTTGGTCACTGGAAGGGAAATGCCTAAGAGGTTGAACAGAGTGGTGTTATTTGATTGCATTTTTAATGCAGTTTAGGAGGTGTGTAACTGTTCGTTTGCAGTTTTCTTGCACGCGCCTGGGAATCTGCCGTGTCTGAAGGCATTCCCAAGGGACACAGGTGTGCGTGGCACCTTAGGAGAACCTAGCAGAGAGTCCATATAACTTCGCAAAGCGAACCTATGCTGTTTGTGGTAACAAATGCCAAGGACTGAAGGAATTGGAGAAGTAGTGATGTGGCATGATGCAGTGGATTGTACTGTGTTGAGAAATTGTTTCCTTACACGCACTGCTTTATATGGTTCTCTTGTTTTGTTTTGTTTTTGAAAGCACTGTATAAATAACATATTTTCTTTTATATTGGTGATGCTGATGTTTTAAACTTGCATTGCAGGCAACAGGATGAAATGAGTTTTGAGGTGCATGACATTATAAATCTGGGCTGTAGGGGGGTTTTGTTTGGGGTGATTGTTTTTTTTTTTTTGGCGGGGGGTGGAGGTGTTTTTTGGGTGCTAAATATACCTGTAATATGCAGTTCAGGAAAGAAAGGAGATGGTCCAAATTTTGCCATGTTCTCGTTGAACAACATACAGAGCCTGTGCTAATCCCTCTAGCTATCAGAGCCACTCATGCTTCGACCCTTACCATACCCTACCAGGACAAGCACAGCCTGCCCCTAAATCTCACGGTGCCTTTGTATGTCAGAAACAGCCCCTCATCTGCTGTGAAACCGCAACCCTCTCTGAGCAGCTGGCCACAGCTGCTGCTTCAAAATGCACGGCAATACTTTGACATCACTCAAATATCAGCTTCTTAAATATTGTCTCCCTTTGCTATTTTGCCTTTCGAGCAAAGAAGCTGCTCTGCCTTAAGGGGTGAAGGCTGGCCCGCGGGTTCTCGATTGCCTCATTCCCCAAGTGACTTGGGAGATTGTTCTCTAACTGGCTGTAATTATCCTTTACTGTAAACTAACCAAAGTACACTCTGATTTCGGTGTTATGTTCATTAGCAAGCATCCTGTTTTGAATGTTAATGTATTCTGGGAATGTCCAGTCTGTAAAAATGCACTGAATTGTGTAGCAAGTGTTTGGGAAGTACCCTGAGGATCAAATTTGTACCATGTAACTGATTTGAAATGAAATGTTAAGGACACACAATGTGAAGGACAGAATATGAATGGATGGTCAAGTTGCAGAGTGGCTTTACATGTGAACATCGTCTAAAAGGGAGACAAAGTTTTTATTGTCTCCAAAAAAGTGCTTAATGGGAAGGTTGGTTCTGAGCCTGCAAAAGATTCCTCCCCATGATCGGTGTTCGTGGCATGATTTCTTGTTTGAGGTGAAGAAGGGATTTATCCCGTGAGTGGCACTACTGGTGGTTCTGCAATGGAAGTGGGCTGCTAATTTAGCATGGGAGAAATGTGGGAAGAATGAAAGCTTCCCTTCATACCTTGACTCAAACATAATCCATAAAACGAAGACTCACCACACATCCCTTTAAAAAAAACAAAATTAAACTAAGTCTGAATCCTTCTGCGGATACATTCTCGTAATTTTCAAGGTATTCAGCAGTGTGGACTATTGGTTTTCAGATGGGTAAATGTGTGCAGCATAGAAAAGTGATGCTGAATGCTCTTAACAGCTACGGGTCTGCCATCCAGCTCCTACTCAAGCCCCTGGATCTGGAGTTTTCTGCCGTGTCTCCTATAATGAGCAATGAAGCATGGCTGCTCTGCCAAGCACAGGTAGAAGGGTTTGCCTAGTAACGTTGTCAATCACTGGCTAATAAAGGAGGTGACTTGTGGTGTTGTTTTTTTTTTTCCCGCTGAGTAAGATTATTCCAGTCAAA